ACAGTATTCCAGGTGAGGCCTGACCAAAGCAGAATAGAGTGGCACATTACTTCTCTCGATCTAGACACTATACTTCTATTGATGCAGCCCAAAATTGCAAAACACAAGCAACTTGGTGGACCTGCACAGTTGAAAGCCACACAGCCAAACTGACTCCGATCAACTTTCAACACAGAAGACTCCTTCTCTGTTGTTGTTTTTTGACATCATAAAGTGGATCGTTAAACGTAATTACCTTCACCCTGTATTAATTTTTGCTTTCTCTCTAACTTATTCTTAACAATTTTCTCTCCCCCCCTGCCCTAAAACTATTACTGAAGTGCCATCCTTCCCTCCTTTACTCTCCTATATGCAAACACCCCTTGCCACTTTCCTGCTCTGGCACTAATGTTAATGTGCTGCCATTTTAATCTTTTGAATGTAAATCACCTTGTACTCCTGCTGTTAACTGCCTTCTCATATGGAAAACAAAATCAACCTATCTGAACACCCCTCTTACTAACTAATATTTCTCATCTTCTAGATGGTTTTTTTATATCCTCCAATTTACCCTCTCCTCTCCTCTTTTTCTTTTTGATTAGATCACTACTGAGATTTTGTCCCCTACAATGTATGCCAATAATGCTTACCGTACCTCCCCAGCCCCAAAGAAGTTCACCATTCAATGGCTTGATCGAGACGTGGGACACACTCCACATACTCCTCTTGGTTTGGTTAGCTATTGTTTTAATTATGTTACAGTTAACTGTTTGTATTTTTGCACGCTGGGATGCATATTTCTTAAGCTTGAGCCTTATGGTTCCCTTTTTTCCACCCTTAAGCTCAAAAAAGTTTGGATTTGAAGGGAACTATTTACTACACCAAATGCAAACTTTAGAACTTCTTCTAAGCGTTTCTTACTTGCAGTTTAATTATTTTAAATCTGTAAAAAATTAAGATTGTCTCTCTCAATTGAAAGGGAGACATATTTTGGTTAATAGTTATTTGAAAAAACTTAGACCAAACATTGTTTTATTTTTTTTTTACAAGAAATGCATAGAAAGGGTACAAGAAACATACTATCACGATCTCCCTTTGATATTCAATTTACAAATGGAAATTCTAATAAATCCAGAAGGGTTGAGATTATTATTTGATAAAGTATGTTCATTTAAAGCTGTCAAAGTAATACGGGACCCCATGGGTCGCTACTTAATATTGAAAGGTTCTCTGGACAACGAAACTTACACACTGGGCATTTTTTATTCCCCAAACAATGACCAGCACATATTTGTGGCTTCATTAGGAGAGAATGCAGAGGGCAATATTGTTATAGGGGGTGATGCAAACGAAGTCCTAGATTACACATTCCCTCCCCAAAAAATGAAAAAGAAATCATCACCAATATCAGACCTCTTAACTAGCTATGGTGCTGTAGACCCCTGGAGAGCTGTACATCCATCCTGTAGAAACTATACTTTTTATTCAAATACATACCAACCTACTTAAGAATAGACTACTTTATCACTTCAAAACTATCCCTTCCTAGCTTTGCTGATGTACAGGTAGAACCTATTATTTATTCAGACCATGCTGCCACAACATTAACCTGGCAACTTGGTCCTGATTTACTAAAATCATACATCTGGAGGTTTAATCCCTACCTTTTCATGAATGAACACTTTAAAAAAACTAATTCAGGATGAAATTAAGCAATTCTATCCTGAAAACAGATCACCTGAGACATCTAAGGCTTTATTATGGGATGTCTTGAAGCTGGTTCTCAGGGGTTTATTAATTAAAGAAGGGGCTACACAAAAGAGACTTAAGGAAGCCTCTAGACAAAGCCTCCTCCAAGAGATAGGAAAGCTTTCATCAATGCATAAAACCTCACTTGATCAACAAATATTCTTTCAACTCGAGAAGACAAAAGCAGAACTGGCAGTTCTGACAATAGAAAAATTCAAACTGTCTTATATTATACTAAATCTTACTATTATGAGTTTAATAATAAAAATTCTCGACTCCTTGCTAGAGCTATCAAGCATAAGGTAGGTAGGAAAACCATATC